CCATTTCCAGGAGTCAGCGAGTGTGTCCCAGAAGGTGAGTTTCCCAGCAACTCCCCAGAGTTCAGTCCTTCCCATCAAAAACGGAGTGCTGCCCCCACAGCCCCTATTCTCTAATTAGCTCACTCAAGGGAGGATGCTGGTCACTACGGACAGTCAGTTTCTCCTTCCCAGTATTTCTGGGGGTGGAGACTTTTGTGAGCGCTGCCAAAGGAGGGAACAGAGTCTAATTTTCCGATCAAATCCTGCCCCACCGCCTTTGCAGCAAGAGAGGGTCACCCTTCTGCCCATAATCAAGGTAGCTTACTACAGGGATCTAACCTTCCTGTACGACAGCCTGGAGGATGCTCCTGAAGGGGACCAGGAGATGCCACCCGAAAACACGCCGCTCTGGCATAAGGATTGTGCCGAGCTAAAAGCAATTAAGAATCAACAGGTGCAGGAAGAATTCTCTGCCTTCCTCTTCTGCCTAAAAGCAGGGCATAAATTTCCCTGATGGAGGGGTCTCCTCCCTCTCTGCCCCTGTATCAGGAGTTGGAGAGAGAGCATTTTAATCAGTAGACACCAAAAGAAGCAGGCATAAACAGACCTACCTAAAATAACCCTTATCTTCTATTAATTCCCCCAAATATTTCCTAGTCACAGCCCCACAATCTATTGTCCATTGAAGCCCAAATCCCCTTTCTTTTGTTATAATGGTATATAAGCTCCAAAGTCTAGCCACTTCTTGGAGTTTCACTTTTCTGTGAATTTCCATGCACATAAAATATTAATAAAAGCTGTGTGCATTTTCTCTTGTTAACCTTTCATTGCTTTAATTCACAGGCCTCCAATTACTGAACCTAAGAGGGTAGAGGAAAAGTTTTTCTTCCTGGACAGTCTCCAGTCTGGATTCTGAGCATCTGTTACTCAGGCCAGTGTAGCACCTTCTAAAAATACGCATAAATTGTTAAATTATAATATTTCCCCAAATCTTTCATAGTTTTCCTTCATCCCATTGCTGTGTAGAATAGCAGTGTTATTCTACAGCAATTAGTCTAAACAATAGAAAGACAACAAACAAAAAGAAAAAGGATGCCATTACACAGGTGTGGGGCCAACTGTCATTGTGCAACACCCTCAACAGTCTGGGTCCAGAAAAGTGTGAACCGTATGCCAGTCAGAGGGACCCTTTCAGCAAGTTGGGTCTTGGGAGCTCGTGACTTTCCATCAGTGGTGTGTCGTCATCGAGGGAATGAGAGAAGCTCCAGCTGCCTGCACATGAGGTGGTGGTGGAGGAGGTCAGTCTCCGTGGGCAGCCAGGGAGCTACGGGGCTGGCTGATGTCTGGGAGTTTCTGAAACGCCAGGCGTCCCGAGCCCTCGTCAGCCTCAGGTAGTGAAAGGAAGACAGACGGGAACAGTCGATGCGTCGATTCCACTTGCCGTTCACTCTCCAAGTTCTCCAGGGAATTCAACGTGTTTCTCCTCAGTTTCATCGCTTGTGCAATTCTGGCTCCTTTAGGAAGTCTTACAATTAATCAAAGCCCCTTGGTATTTTCTTATAAATAAACTGCAATCCCAACAAAAAATATTGATGGAACAATTTCTCTCCCAACCCTCTGATCAGGCACAGATAGAAACTCCGTGTTTTATTCCAGCCTGCCTTTTATGAGGATTTGCTTTGGGAAGACACAGACTGGTATGCTTTGACTTGATTTCGAGAATTCCAGGTGGTTTCGTTTCTGACCCAGGAGTTTGACTGTTCTCTGATGTAATCACGCTTCGGAAAAGGAGCTCTGTGAACTTCCTTTGCAAGGCATTCCTAAAGATTTCAGGCTATAGTGAATGAATAGCTAAAACTCAGAATATTGCAAACATCTTTTATCTCATTCCTTTGACCAAAGGCCTGTGTGAAGATTACTATCTGATTGACTGAGATAAAAACACATTAATTGCCCCAAACTAAGATTGTGGAGCTGGCAGCCCTTCTGAGAAGAATGTGAAGAACCAGCCCTGCTCTGGGCCTTTCTCAGCCGTCACCTGCCACATTTCTAGGCAAAGGAGAAGCGTTGCCCGGACGACGTGGTTCTTTCCTCCCCGGGGGCCTCCCTTCTCTGTCAGCTCTTGCTCCCCTGGGGCTCATGGACGCATCCCTGGGGGGGCTCTGGCCCAGGCTGCAGCCTCCAGAGCAAAGGCGTTTCAGGGAATGCTGGCTTGGATAATAGGCCAAAGGGGCTGTTTATTTTGCCTAAAGGAACTCGGGGGCGGGAATAGGGGCACCTAAATCTGCTTTTTGAGATGAGCACTCGGTTTTTTGTTTTCCCCGGATATCTGACTAGAGAGGGCTGGTTAACCCTAAAACAGGAGCCATTTAGATGAAAGGTTAGGAAGAACTTCCGGATGGAGATATTGACCTGCATGCCTCACGAAGACCAGTCAGGCCAGTGCTGTCTGGAGCTGGGGAGATTGACGGTATCACCATCCAAGTTTGCTTGTGGCTGGAGAGCTCTGTGATTCCTTTCTGGATATAGTTTCTGTTTTTGGAGCAGCAGAAAGATTTGATTTCAAAGACAGACAGGAAAACTGCGCGTGGGTGAAGCTCCAGGGCGGGGACTCCGCACGTGAGGGCCCTGGCCTCTGCTGACGGGCATCTGAGGCCTACGCTCTCCCTGAAATGGGTTGTGAAATTGCATCTCCATGGATGTTTGGGGAGAACATTCATTGCAAGGGTGTCCGTGATTAAAAAACAAAACCAAAAAGGAAACCCGTCAAGAATCATTGCTCCAAGAGCAGACTTTGTTCGATGAGATGATTAACTAACGCTGATCCGGCTGTTCCTTTGGAACACTTGCGATGCGGTGGGAAGACGAGGAAGACGGCTGGGAGGGAGGGACTGGGCCCTCTTCACTGATGGAGGGCTGAGGCACAGCTGCCTCCACCTTCCTTCACTCACTCATTCGTTCAACAGACCTTTGCTGAGCGCCTGCTCTGTGCCAGGCCCTGTTCCAGGCATTGCAGATAGAGCAATGAGCAAACAGATAGAGATTCCCGCCTTCATGAAATATGCATCTGGGGAAGAGGAAGATGCTAAACAACAAACACAGGTGAGTATATCACATCGTGGAGCCGGGCGGGGGGACTCCCCGTGTGGAGGGGAGGAGCAGCATGGTGGAAGGCAGGCAATTTGCATGATAACATAGGGCAAATCTCAGACGAAGATGTCATTCAGTCAAAAACTTGGAGGCGAAGGAGGTAGGCTTGAAGACGTCTTGTATCTGAGGGAAGAACATTCCAGGAGAAGGAACAGGCAGTATGTTCCAAAGATGGAAGGGTAAGGGAGTGTTTGAAGAAAAGCAAAGAGCCCAGGGGGCTGGAGCAGAGAGAGAAGGGAAGAGAGTAGAAGAAGAGGTAACTAGGGGAGGGGAGGAGGCAGAACACGCAGGGCCTGGTGGTCCATTAGAAAAACTGTGACTTTGACCCTGAGTGAGAAGGACATTCTCTGAAGGGCTTTGAGGAGAGGAAGCACAAGATCTGACGTACACTTTGCAGGATCAGTCTGGCTGCTGTGTTAGCACAGACTAGAGGGAGCAAGGCAGAGACAAGGGAGGCCAGTGGGAAGCCATCTGGATGAGCAGTGGTGACCTGGACCAGGGTGGCAGCGTGGTAGTGGCGACAAGCGGTGGGATTCGGAATATATTTTGAAGGGAGAACCAATAGCTTTTCTTCATGGATGGGGGGCGGGGATGGGTCAACCCCCTCAGCTTCTCTTTGTGCCTCCTCACTGCGTGCCCAGTAGACACCACGTCAGCCCTCTCCCCGTCCCAGGTTGGCCCGTGGTCGACATACGCTGTCCACGCAGTAGCCACCAGCCACACATGGCTATCGAGCGCTTAAACATGGCTAGTCGCAATTAAGATGTGATTTAAGTGTGAAATACACACTAGATTTTGAAGATTTATCACAAAAAGTAAAGTATTTCATTGGTAATTTAAAAAATATTGATTGCATGTTGAAACGATGATATTTTGGATATGTTGGGTTAAATAGTATATATTATTAAAATCCGTTTCATATCTCTCTTTTTACTTTCTTAGTACAGCAAATAGAGATTTAAAATTACAAATGTAGCTCACATTATATTCTACATTTCAGTTGGACAGCACTGGTCTAGAAGACATTTGAGAGACCGATGATTACATTTGAATCACGAGTCCCTCTGGGTTCATTCTTTCCAGAATGGAGGAGCTGACCTGAAACTCCTGCCTAAGACTGATAACGGGCCGTCAGTTTCCAAACGATGTGTCTGTAGAGCCTCACATGCTGCTTTCTTTGAAAGAAGTGAGCTATGTGGTCTTGTGTAGAAACCCCTAGCTGGCCCCTCCAAACCTCAACAGCCAGTGACTGGAGCTGGCTGTAGGCGCCCTGGAGCAGTTGCTGCTCCAGACTGAGGCCCCGTGTCATCCGTCATCCGCAGCAACGCACCGTTAACCCTGCGGTGGAGAGTCCTGAGATCCAACACCACGAGCTCCGACTGCAGACATCACTTCGTACCACCTGACGGCTTCCTGTGAAATCTGGGCCCCGATGGCTGGAAGGCACCTGAGCGTCTCTGCTGGGCATGGGTGCAGGCTGGAGCTGCGTGTCTCTGAGTCCATTTCCCCCTTAGCTTGTTGCTTAGCAAGACCTGCGTGTACAGACTTCTCTGTTTTGTAGAGAGGGTACTGCTGAATACTGTGATCAGTAAAAATGCTTCTAGACCCATTGAGCCAGAATCTCGGAGGACGGGGACTGGGGATTCACGGTTTACCAAGCTTCTCAGGCGGCATTTATGCTCCTGAAGTTGGAGAGCTGCTATAGAGAAAAGGGGCAGTTCCCGTCTGTCAATCAAGGGGCTTACGCCTGGCAGCTTCATTTCTTTCAGGCTTAGTCTAACATGCCCTAAGTTATTATACACATATGTGTATATGCACGTGTGTGTGTGTGCGTGTGCGTGTGTGTATTACAAGAGGGAGAAGAGACAGATCTAGCAATAGAAGGTCAATATGAGTGACCACAACAAAAACCTCGCCCTATTTTTGTTTCCTGGGAGGAAAATTCCAGCCTGAGTCACAGGCAGGCGGCTCTGGCAGCCCCCACCTTGCCAGCAGAGATTCTCCTCCTCCTCCTGCCTGAGGGGCCCAAGGGTGCAGGGGGAGGACCCATTCTGCTGCTCGCTTAGAGGATCCCTTTTAAATCTCTTGTCTGCTTCTCTCTCCCCCAAGGACCCCGCCTGCCCCACCAAGTCCTGCCAATTTCTTTCCAATTCTTTGTGTCTGTAGCCCAAAACCTCTCTAGGGGATAGCGGACTGTCCCCTCTCGGAGTGTGGGGACAGAATCCAATCCCCACCCACTGTCCTCCTGCGGGGCGGGCCGGGGACCGCAGCCAACACAGCACCGCCAGACATTAGGCGTGTGCTTCCCGCGGCCCTGAGCAGACCCTGCCCTGCGCCTCCTCCCTCTGCCTGCTCATCTCCTTCAGATCCAGAGTCTTCGGGGGACACAGGACTTGGCCGGTCTGTGGTAAAATCGACCCATGGAGCTACCTTCCCAAAATTGGTTTGTTTACCCAGGTTGCATTTTAGGAGAAATAAAGTAATTGGCAGGGGCCCTGAGGGCCTCCGTAACTCACATGGGCCTGACCTGGAGGACTGTGCTGACCGCCCTGCCTCGGGTCTGTCTGCTGAAAATCATGCTTGGGTGCAGCCTGAGTGTGATGAGAACAGGAGCACATCTCCCTGAGCCTTCGAGAGGAAGGACGTCCCCACTGCTTGGAGGTGGGGGGCTGAGGTCAGGAGAAGGTGAGAAGGGGTGGCCGGGTCCCTCAGGCTCAGCGGGGAGGGGAGCCGTGAAAAGTGCTCCCAAGCTCCAGCAACCCCCTTGTTCTCTGCCCTGCAGCAGCGGGGTTCACCGCCTGGAGGCATTTTCAAGGGAGACCATAGGCAGAGGGAGGGCTTTCTCTGGGGTCCTGAAGCCATTCATTCAGAAGGTGGGGGTCCGTAGATGGAACATGGCCCACGTTTCCTTTCTTTCCATTGCAGCCTTCCCCATCAACTAGCTCAAGCCCAGTACATGAAACATTTCACAGTTTGTGAGGTTGTCCTGCTTCTTAACATTCCTGACGGGTCTCCTGCGAGTCCTTCTGGAGTGGCAATCTGTCCCTGTCTTCTGTTATGCAAATGTGCTCACCCTGTTTTCGTTGTCAGGGAGAGGATCCGAGATGAGAGATGTCCCTCCTAACCAGGCTCTTCTGCCACTGGTGTTTTGAAAATACCATGAAGCACCCAAGGCGGAGACAGGCTGCCGAGCTCGCTGCTGGCTGCAAGCCGCCGTTTCTCCCCCCTGCTTCCTGTCTGCCCACTGTTGCTCTGCTTCCCTTCAGAGCCCCTCTTGCCTCTGTCGCTGTGGCTCAGGCAGTGCTCCTTGTGTTTCTGAGCTCTCTGACTTTTAATATTTGACCTTCGCCGAGACAGAAACCTGGCCAGTCGGAGGGGAGGATGGACGATGCGGGCTGGCGTCAGGACAGCGGTTTCTTACCCACAGCATCTGCATCCGGTTATCTTTTAGAGACGATACCAAATTTAAACTGCATAAGACTAGGGTATTTCTCAGAGCCAAACCATGTGTTTTGTTTTGATTTTTTTGCCTTTAAAGGCTAAAGCTGGATTTTTAAGACTTCTAGAAGAGCAAGAAGGTTGGAAGGAGAGACAGATGTGCTGGCGGATCACCAGAGCGTGGAGTTAATTATTGTCGCTTGTACAAACCTGTCAATATTTTTCTTCTCACATTAAAACTGCACTCTCTCCCCTTGGCTGTGTCAACGATATTAACCCATTGTGACCCTTGAGAGAAGGAGGCAGGGCTTTATTCGGGGAGAGAAATACAAATGCAAAATAAACAGGGCTACAATGACAGACTGGATCTCACACACAATCATTCTGAAAATTTGGGCTGGATGGGAGGTTGGTGAGAAGGCAAGAAACCCCTGACTCATCACTGTTTTCTGGCGAGGAGCCCTGTGCTTCACTCTGTTTACGGAATCTCAGGGCTGAAGGGGAACCTTAAGGACTCCCTCTGCCCCCCATCTTTCCTGCCCCTCACACCCTCAGCAAGGATCTTTCTCAGGCCTGCTCGGCCACCCCCGGGTCAGGGACACTCTGTGCTGCTGGAGCCGGCCTTCGTTTGAGAGAAGGTCTGTCTTTCTGGAGCTTCCACACTTTGGGACTGGCCTCTCAGAGCTCTGAGGAAATGGGGATTACTCATCTCTGGCAGCCTGTGATGACCAAGCCTCAAGTCAGGCCAGAACAGATGGCCTTTTAACCTACCTGGCTCCCAGGAGCACAGGCCATTCCTTGACCCTAAGCCCCCAACACAGGGGTGTCCACAATGGGAGGGCTGACCCACAGCCAACATTAGCATCCTCCACGCCCCTGCCCTTCTGAGTGTGGACCACGCACCAGCAGCCTCAGTATCCCCTGGAGCTCATTGGAGATGAAGAATCTGGAGTCCCACCGTGGACCTGCTGAATCAGACGCTGCATTTGAACAAGATCCATTGAGCAAAAGCGTTGTCTGCACATTCATCTGCACGTTCTCCCTTGCCCATGAGGCTTGCGAAGGACACTGGCTGACCTTGACCCATGTGCCTGATTTGGGGCCCCAGAATGTTGGTGCAGAGCACTGCTGGGAACCAGTGACCTCGTCCAGGAAAACTGGACTTCCACAGTGGACATAGTGCTTTCAAGGAGGAAACCTCGAAGGATGACAAAGACATCAGGTGAATGCTTTGAGGACGTCCCCTTGAGGAGGTGACCTTGGGGACGAGCCCTTAAATCTGCCCCCAAGGCTGGGAGACACAAGCTCAGGAAGGCTGCCGCCCTTCCCCCGTGCAGGCCCTCAGGCCTAGCTGCTGGGAAGAGGTCCAGCGATGACTAAGAGGACTGTGAGATTCTGGAGCCTTTGTAAATTTCCCAAGCTCGTTGTTATTGCTCTTAGCCTCTATTTACTCCTGTAATTTGTTTCAAAAAAGATTAATAGTAGTGCAACCACTTTTCGGGGCTGGCTTCCCAAAGACTGAGGAGGGTGGGGGCAGACAGCAGAGAAGTGGGGAGTCATATCTCTCACAGCCCAGCCTGCGACCTGGAACAGAAGAGCTGGCACCAGTGCAGAGAAGAGGAGAAGGGGTCAGGAGGCGAAGGAAGGGACTCTCGCAGGCCTGGACCGTGCCTCAGGGTTTCGGAGGCAGAAGGACCATGCGGTTGACTTCTCAGCTCCCGTCCTGGGAGACTAATGAGTCATGGGTAAGCACATTCCATGAGGGACTGGAAGGTGTGCAGTATAGTTGTGGAGGGCGTGGCACTTGGTAAAATCTTAATCTCTGGTTGTTTCCTTTTCTCGTCTGTGAAATGTAGATCGTGATAGCACTGGCCTCATGGGGGCGTAGTGAGGATGGATGAGAAAGTATGGTAGGCATGGTGGCATCTTCCCAGCATCCATTCCACCCCAGCTGCTGGAGGCTCTAAACAGTTTACAGAACCCCGTCCCCTCCACAGAGACTTGTCAGGAATGGACAGGCCTGAGCCGATGGCCGTGGGCGCACACATGGGAGCATGCAGCCCCAACTCTATGGCATTCTTCTAACGGCACCTTCAAACAGAAGGGCAGAAATATGGATGGACCCCTGGGCCTCGGCTGATATTGTTGAGCCTCTGCTTGAATTAGTCCTAAGAGCTGTCCGTCTCTGGCCTCCAAGTTACGTGACCCAACATATTCCTTTATTGTTTAACTCCACTGGAATAGAGTTTTATGATACCCACAGCTGGAAGTATCCACACTGATGCAAAGCCGTATGTAAAGTGCTCAGCATGAGGTCTGGTACATAGTAAGACCTTGAAAATTGTTAGGTGTTCTTCTTATTATTATCATTACAGACAGTGTAAAGACACGTATAGACCTTTGCTGGAAACAGCATCAGTCCAAAAGGGGTAACAAAGGATAAGAATCTCCTTCTCTGAGGTTGAGCACCAACGTGTAGTCTTTCCCCAGAGCCAGCCAACGGGAAAGGGTTTGTCTCTTTCTCCTGGCCCCGCCCCCACTGCCTCCCTTTTCACTTAGAGGAAAATCTAGGAAACTAGCTGATCAAAAGGATTTAGTGAACTTTCGTCAGCATCGATTCCCAAGCCATGCCCCAGTCTCAGGACGGCTTCAGGCCCTCCCTCCTGGGTCTTTATATTCATACAACGGGGAGAGCCGCAGCATGCCAGCCATGGGACAGGGGCTAGAGCAAATGGTATCTTTCTGTCTGTTTCTCTTCATTTTGAGAAGCTTAAAAAATATGGGAAAAGACGGGGCTGGCCCCATGGCCGAGTGGTTAAGTTCGCGTGCTCTGCTGCAGGCGGCCCAGTGTTTCGTTGGTTCGAATCCTGGGCGCGGACATGGCACTGCTCAACAAACCATGCTGAGGCAGCGTCCCACATGCCACAGCTAGAAGGACCCACAACGAAGAATGTACAACTATTTACCGGGGGGCTTTGGAGAGAAAAAGGAAAAATAAAACCTTTAAAAAAAAAATATGGGAAAAGACGAAGAGCAATATAACAAACACCATGTTGTTGTGTTTACATCATTTAATAAAATAAAAACTACAGAAAATAGTTTGAAGACTCTGACAAATCCCTTCTGTCATCTGATGAGTATGAACAGGAGTGGGTTTGATTCATATTTTTACAGCCTATTTTTATTCATGAATCCAGAGACAGACTATTTTATCTGTGTTTTAAAAATTTACATACCCGGCAGGTTATAACATAGTTGTAAAGCTTGTTCTTCTTGAGCAGTGTGTTTTTGGACTTATCCGTGTTGATACACCCAGATCTAGTTCATTACTTGCATTCAGAGTGGGCATTCAACATACACATACAAGAGACTTTATTTATCCATTACGTTGTTTATGGACACTTGGTTGCTTTCAATTTTCTGCCATCATAAGTATGGCAGCAATGAATATCCTCGTATGTGGCCCGTGTCTTTAGATCTCTTTCACACTGAGCTCTATAACTAGAAGCCTAATGCACAAAACATTGAACTCTTCAACACATATCAATTAAGCCTAGCTGCTACTAGACTAAAACATCGGACCAGAGAATCTTAATTAATAGTCCAAGACTTGCGCAGAGACATGGTCTATGGCTAAGAAGCTGTCAGTGCAGTCAGGAAGACAGAGCTACCAAGGCAAGGCAGGAGATGCCAGCATCGAATTCAAAGTGATCAGTGCTGTTAGAATTCAGAAGATGAGTTTGAGGTAGAGTGTTACTCTGGATCTTGAAGGATGAGTAGAATTTCAGCAGGAAAAGTGGGGAGGTTGTTCAAGGCAGGTCACTGATGTGAGCAAAGGTGACGAGGTGGGAGCACCATGAGGTTTAGGCTCCAGAGGAGCAGAGACACTGGGACTCCAGCTCCCTCTCTTCACCCCAGGTGGAGTTACAAATCCGATTGGTCAGATTCAGGACAATGCTAGGCCGTGCTTTGGTGGTGGGCGACAGCACTGCATTTTAAAAGGTTGATGCACCTGCGTGTGGTTCTCTCTTCTGTCTTTTCTGTCCATGTGGCTGCAGGGGAAGCCCAGGGATTGCTGCGTGGGAGGAGCCATCTTGCTCGCTTCCATTTCTCTTTGGCTGTGAGTATTTGGGGTCTCTGCCTCATTCAAACTGGGTTAGTGGCTGGTGCTAAGCTTTAACTTTGGACTTAGAGAAGGAAGAGGCCCCTTATAGGCCTTGGACCTTAGCCCGAGTCCCAGCCCAGTTTACCAGTCAGTGCTGCAGATCCGTTAGACTAGTTGACAGAGAGGTTTTGTGTAGAAGATAAAAGAAATTGATTTGAAAGGATAGGTTTTGATCAGATTGTGATGGACATTGAATGCCAGACTGTTGAGTTTTGGCTGATTCCCAAGGACAGTTGGGTGCCCCTTGAAGATTTTTGAGCAAGAGAACATGGGATCAAGGGATGTTTTAGGAAGACCAGTCTGATTTAGAGGGGAGTGAGTTAAGAGGCTAATGGAAGAAATTCAAATGAGTGATGACCTGAAGTTCCATTTCTGGAAGTGGCAGTGGAACTACAAGAAAAAAAAAAAAGGAATGGCTGTGAGAATTTTCAAGACTTGTTGAATAACTGGAAATGGAAGAGGATGGAAAGAAATATGATTGAGATATTTTTAGTCTAGATAACAGATAATTGGGCAAAGGAAAAAAAAGGAAAGGAGAAGGGAATCTGGGATTGATTGTTGTGAATTTGGGCCACTCACATTTCAATCAGGTGAGAGCATCCGTTAGGATGTTAGAAATGTAAGTCTGGGCTCAGAAGAGAGATGAGTAGGTGTGGGTGGCAACAAATGTCTGCCATGTTGCCTAGTCTTTCTACATATTCCACCTAAGAATGGCTGCATGTACTGATTGCTGACTGTGTGTCTGTCAGCCACAGTTCTAAGCCCCTTACATATACGGGTTCATTTAATCTCTACAGCAACCCTTGGAGGAAGTTACTACTGTCATTCCAATCTTGCAAATGAAGAAACTGAGGCTCGGAGAGGGTCGGACTTGGCCAAGGTTCCAAAGTGGTAGGTAAGTGGTCGATCAGGGATGCAGACTCAGGTAGTCTGACCTAAGGATCTGCTCAGAGCTGCTCGCCACTTCCTCCGTCCTCAGACAGCTTTGCAAATGACACGTGGCGCTGTTACGAGCATGGACAGTTTACTGCTGCTGAATATCACTATCTTTCCTGGTGGTATTAAAAAGTAGGAAAGCAAGAAAACTCAATTATTTTAAAGCTTGCTGAAAGAAAATGAGCCCTCCTTAGGATCGGTGCAGGTCATAGGGTGTTGAAAGAGGTTAAAAGAAGTTATTTTCCGTCTATTATTCCTCCTTCTTGAAATAGCCATGAGAAGCCCTCCATCTGCCTGCAGACCTGGGCGGGTGAGAAGGTGTCTCAGAGTGTCTCCCAGACGCCTGCACTTTCCTCGCAAGGTCTGTTTATGCACTGATCAGTTCATGAGGACCTGCAGCGCTGGGTACTTCCTGGCACCTTTCTAGGAGCTTAATATAATGTTTTATTGAATAAAGGAACAGATAAATAACACAGCGCTTACACATATGCTATGGCATATCCCAAACCTTGGACATGTGTCAGGGAAAGCTTCCTATAGTTGATGGTATCCAAGCTGAGTCTTGAAGGCTGAGTTGGGTCTCACTGGGACTACCCGGGGGAAAGGGCTTCTGGGCAGAGGTACCAGCTTATACCAGAGAGAACAGGCATGTTCAGGGAGCTGTCAGCTGTCATCACGGCTGGAGGGGAGTGAAGGAGGGAGGTGGGATGGGAAAAGGAGGACGCACACAGGAGCCACACTGCAAAGGCTTCATGTACCATGAGAAGAGTTTGGACTTTATCCTGAGGACAATGAGAGCTGTCAGACTTTTTTTTTTTTTTTTTTTTGGCGTATTGATTTTTCTTTCTTTTCCAGATTTATAAAAATTGAGGAATGGCATACATATGGTAAAGTGCAAAAATCTAAAGTTAGGGGGACCAACCATCCTGGTTTCCCCAGGACAGGACTTTTAGTTTAAAATCAGGACAGTTCCAGGTAATCTGGGACGAGTCATCCCGTCTAAAGTGAACTGCTCAATTTTACAGACGTAGCACCTCGGACCCACCTCCCAGATCAGCCCCGGAAAGCCTCCACATGCCTCTTATCAGTCAATACTGCTGTCCTGAAGTAACCACCATCCCAGATCTCTCACCATACATTAGTTTTGCCTTGTTTGGAACTTTATATAAACGGAATGATTCAGTGTTCAGTTCTCTTTCGAGTCTAGCTTTTTTCATTCAACTTCATGTCTGTGAGACTCACCCTTGTCATCGCTCTCCTCCGTTCCCTTTCGTTGCTGTGCAACATTCCTTTGTAAGAACACAGTGCAATCCGTTTATCCCCTCACGTGTTAGTAGGTGTTCGGGTCAAGTCCGGATCTCGGCAATTGTGAGCGTTCTCTGGTGGGCGCGGTACTCACGGCTGCCGGGTGAACACCCGGAGTGGATTGTAGGGTTAGGGGGACATAGAAGGTTGACTTTAGTAGCAACCTCGAAACTTTTTCCTAAAGTAGTTGTACCCTTTTCCACTTCCAGCAACAATCCTGAGAGGTTTTGTTTCTCTGCACTGTCATCAACACCTGGTATTGTCTGTCTTTTTAACTTTTGCCCTTGTAGTGGGTGTGAAGTCATAGCTCTTGGGCTTTTTTTTTTTCATGGTTTTAATTTACATTTCCCTAATGACTAATGCTGTTGAGAATGTTTTTATTGGCCATTCATAATAAGTCTTTTGCTAAATGTCTGTTCAAGTCTCTTGCTCATTTGAAAAACTGTATCGTTTGCTTCGTATTGTTATTAAGGAGTTATTTATATATTCTGGACACAAGTCCTTGGTGAGATATATGCATTGCAAATATTTTCTCCTGGTCTGTGACTACTTTTTCACTTTTTTAGTAGAGTCTTTCGAAGAGCAAAAGGCAGAGTTTTAATTTTGAGATATGATTTATCCATTTTTTTTCCTGTGCTGAGCGTTTTTTGTGACTTGTTTAAGAAATGATTGCTTAACTCATGAATGTGAAGATAGTCATTTTCCTCCAGAAGGTTTACGTTTTCTCTTTTGCATTTAGATCTATGAGTTGTCTCAAACAAGTTTTTGTTACCGTTGCAATAGAGAGTGAGATTCACTTTCTCCCCCCTATTTATAGCATGTCATTTCCACGTAATTGTTGAAATTCTCCATTGAATTATCTTGGAGCTTTCGTCCAAGATCAATTGAACGAATATGTGTGGGTCTGTGTTTGTTCCATTGATCTATTTGTCTGGCCTTCTGCCAATACCACACTGAATTGATTGTTATAATTTTATAGTAAGTAAGTCCCCAAATCAGGTAATACAAGTCTTCCAGATTTGTTCCCTCTGTTTTCAAAATTGTTTTGAGTATTCTATATTCTGCTCCTGTCTATGTAAATTTTAGAATTTTGACAATTTCTATTTTTTTTAAAAAAGCCTGCTGGGGTTTTCATTGGGATTGCTTTTCATCTGTAGATCAATTTGGGGAAAATTGACAACAATATTGAGTTTTCCAACTCATGACCTTGGTATCCATCCATTTATTGAGGCCTTTAAACATATCTCTCAGTGGTGTTTTGTGGATTTTGGTATAGAGGTATTGTGCCTCTTAGGTTAGGTTTATTGCTAGACATTTCATTTTTTTATGCTACTGTAAAATGTTATTTAAAATTCTTTTTTAAATTTCTAATTGCTTGTTGTTAAGATATACAAGTGATTTCTATATACTGACCTTGTGCAGAGTGATATTGTTAAATTATTTATTAATTTTAATAGTTTTAGATTGATTCTCTTGAATTATTCATATAAATTATCATCTCGTCTGTAAATAATGCCAGTTTTACTTCTCCCTTTCCCATCCTTAGCCCTCCCTCTTGCTGAGTGTACGTCCTGGCTTGGACCTCCAGTGCAATGGTGAACAGTGGGGGATGTGCACGACTGCGGGGGAAGCGTGTGCTGTTCTGCCGTCAAGCATAATGCGGGCTGTAGAACCTTCCTTTATTCCCAGTTTGCTGAGAATTGTCATTTTTACCAGGAATGGATACTGAATTTTGCCAAATGTCTTTTCCAACTTCTATTGAGATGATTATATGATTTTTCTTCTCTGTTCTGTTAATGTAGTGGATTACATTGAATGTGAATGTTAAATCAATCTTACGTTTATGACGAGGTTACAACCTTACATACATAAGGCATATGGCAATCATGGGTTGTCTTTTTTATGTATTGATGGATTTAATTTACTAAAGTTTTGTTTAAGATTTTTGCATCTATGCTCATGAGTAAGATTGGTCTGTAAATTGCTTTTACAAAATGAATTGCGAATTATTTATTTATTTGTTTATTTATTTTTCTGGAGGAGTTTGTACAAGGTTAGTATTATTTCTTCCATAAATATTTAGAAGAATTTACTAGTGAAGCCATTTGAGCCTGAAGTTATCTATGTAGGAATGTTTTATATTAGAAATCCAGGGCTGGCCCCATGGCTGAGTGGTTAAGTTCACGTGCTCCGCTTTGGCAGCCCAGAGTTTCACCAGGTCAGATCCTGGGTGCAGACATAGCACCACTCATCAAGCCATGCTGAGGCGGCTTCCCACATTGCACAACCAGAGGGACCTACAATTAGAATATGCAACTCTGTACTGCGGGACTCTGGGGAGAAGAACTGAAAAAAAGATGGGCAACAGATGTTAGCTCAGGTGCCAATCTTTAAAAAACAAAAAAGAAATCCAAATTATTTAATAGATATGGAAAGATTCTACTCATCTTTCTGTTAATTTTAGGCAATTTTACTTTTTAAGAATTTGTTCATTTCTTCTAAACTGTTAGATTTATTGGCATAGAGATGTACACTTAAAACCAAATATATGAATACTTAAACAGTAATTGTAAGCAGAACAAACGCTGAATTAAAGACAAAGATTTTCAATATTTATTAAAAAATTAAAAACCAACTAAATGATGTTTCTAAAAGACAAACTTTACGTATAAGGATCGAAAGGGGAAAAAAATCTTTATTTTCTCTACACATTGAACACTTCTGGCCACCTAACGTGTGGGTTCTTCAGCGCCAGCTGGGTGTCCTATAATTCAATTCAATTCTGACCCTCTCTGCTTGGAGACAGCCTCAGATGCCACAAGTTAAGGTCTCAGTCCCACGAGGCTGCCCCACTTCAGATGCCAGATATTAATAAAATAATAACTCTAGCTAGACTAACACAGTAAAAAAAAAAGAGAGGAAACACAGATTTTCATTATGACAAAAAGGTTAATTCAAAAGGAAGATTCTAAATTGCATAAAGTGAATAACAGCTTCAAAATATGTAAAGCAAAAGTTGACAGACTAAAAGGAGCCATAGACAAATACACGATTGTAACTGAAGGTTTTAGTATAACTCTCTCAGCAACTGATAGAACAAGTGGACAAAATAGTCATTAAGGAAATAGAAGCTTGAACAATATCATTTAACAACTTGACCTGGTGGAACGCTGTAACCAACAACTTCAGAGCATATTCGACTACACAGGGAACACTCACTAAATACCGCATGTTGGGCCATAAAATAAAGAGACATCGTTCTAGATCCCACAGACATTCAAAGAAAATAAGAGTATATTATGAACAATTTTGTGCCAAGAAATTTGACAATTTAGAAGACTTATTTTTAAATATGGAGCGACATGGTCAGACTTTCATTTCATAGAGATTACTCTGGCTGTAGTGCAGAGAACGGATTAGATAAGGGCAAGAGCAGAGACAGCGAAGATGTCAGGAGCCTATTGCAACAAGCTAGGTGAAGATAACGATGACCCAGCTAAGGAAGTGGTGGTAGGGAGATTGAAGAAGGGATCAGATGAAAGAGCAGGTGAGAAAGGGAGGTTGAGAGCCCGTGACAATGTGACAGTGCCAAGCCGGGCCCTCCCCTCTGTTATATAACTTGCTCTGTCGGTTGCATGTGATAACAACATAACTATCCTCGTATCTGCCTTTTTGAGCCACCACAATGCCCAGACTCTTCCAGGTGGCACTCATCGATTTAAAATTTTATAAGATTAAGCTGAACACTCACACATTTCCCTGGGTTGGCTCAAAGCTACATACACTAGGAGATGGCTAGTCCAAAAATCAAGATGCTTTCCTCTTAAGTGGAGCTAGTTTCCGTGTCACAGTGGCCCTGGCCATCCGCTGGCGTTAGCACCTTCTCCCTGGGACAGGGCAGGCCCAGGTTTGGTGAAAAGAGCTTCCTTAGGGCACTTCAATCACCTTTGTCCAAAGTAAAGGGTATGGGAAGCCTGGAGCCCTGGATTTATCTGGTTTGCTTTTAGTTTCTTCTCTGGATTATGAGAATGTAGAATGCTGGAACTGGATGGAATTACAGAAACCATTTACCCTAATCCACAGATTTTGGAGGGGAAGAATCAAGGCTCAGAGGAGTAGAGTGACTTGCAGAGTCACCAGTCACTTTTCAATCGACCCAGGACTAAACTCCTGGTCTTCCCATGCCCTTTCCTCTCCACCAGCACCCCCGCCAGCACCCCTGCACCGGAGCTGGAGAGACAGCGGTCGATCCTTGCTGCTTTATATTTTGGAAAAGCAAAACTAGTTTTTGCTCCAAATGGCCATTTCTAGGTCAAATCCCCTTCTCTATTCACATCCTGCATTGGCTTTCTATCGCTGTCTCGGCTGAAGGGAGGCCAGAACCCGAGCTGTGCAGAGCAGAGGCGCAGGTGACGTTTGGAGGGATTTCGACTACCCGGGGCAGGGCCTTCCTCTTCCCACCTGCTTTTAGGTGCCTAAAGTTTCTAAAAGACAAAGCTTTTCATTATACAAGGAGGGTTAAAGCCCCTGGTGCAAATGCCCCTGGGAAGGAAAACGTGATGGCTTCAGTGGACACTGAAGAGCAAATCATTGACGTTGGAGCCCTTTCTGGAAGCACTTTTTGATAGTCAGGGGGGAAGATAGTGCCAAAGGGCACTAGGAGCCTTAGGAAGGATAGATGGGAGCTCCCTGCACTAGAAGAAAGGAAGAGAGGGTGTACGTGCACACGTGCGCACACACACACACAGATACACTGCTTCTATCCCCTGGGTCAGCCCTTGCAATGGCCCTGGCAGGGTGGGCCCTAGGCCGTGTTTGAGGTTTTGGCTGCCCAGGTTCTTTGCTCTCCCCTTTGGGAGAGTCTCCTGCAGAAGCAGGGAACCAGGCCGAGGACAGGCTGCACAGCTTGCCCAGGGTCTTTTCCGGGAATCTGTAGCTTGGCAGCTGGATGTTGAAAGGGATCTAATTACGTGGAAAAAAAGCTGCATCCAAAGTTGGGGACAGGGTTTGCTGGTACCTAAAAATGAGATGAGCAATTCCCTGGTAAGGAAGGACTTCCCTGCCAGGAGCTGTCTCGGCCCCTCCTACTGCTGCACCTGCTCCGCACTGGGCAGCAGCTGGTGCCCGGGCCCTTGGCGGTACAGCGGTGAACACCAGATGACTCAGCTCAGGAGGGGCCCAGGGTTCTGTCTGGTCATTCTCTTCTCCAGTCTGTTCTGCATCATGGGAAAGAGAGGGCCTGTGGCAAGAAGTCCGGGACATGAAAATTCATTCAGGTGTGCGTGTTGTGCGCATGTTGAGTGTGTGTGTGCACCTGGGGGAGAGGAGAATGCTCGTAACATTGGCAGATTTTGTTTCAGGAGATGGACTGCAGCAAACACGTTCTGTTTGCTCCCTTCCTTTCCGTGCCCTGGTACATCCACGTATGCTCGCTCGCACATACTTTCCCTGCAAGGAAACTGCTCTCCTCTCTGCTGAGTGTCAACCCAAGGGGCCTTCCAGTGCCTCTGGTTCAATATCTTATTTTCCTTGAGATCCAAGAGGAAAGGCTCAGATCTATCCTTGGAGCAGGAGAGGATACTGAGGAGCCGGCGTGGCTTCCTCTCCTCCCCTCTTTGCTCCCTCAGTGGCCTCCGAGGAACCATCAAAGAAGAGAGGACAGTCTGGGGAGCTGAGGGCTGAATGTTGAGTGCATCCGGGGGTCAGGCCAGGCCATCTAAGTGGCTGAAGCTCTGCCTGGAAGGAGAGGCTGAGTCAACAGCCTGGGGCCAAGGTGAAATGGTCAAGGTGAGAGGGTGGCTGGGAGAGGCCAGTTGTGGCTAGTTTACCTCCCAGGAGAAAGTCCTGCAGGCAGGTCAAAGTGGTGGTGTCTTTGGAAATGGTCTGTGTCACCACTGTCCACTCTTGGCCTCTCTACAGGGGATTCTGAATCCTCTTCCCCTCTGCCAGAATCCAGCAAAACGGCTGTAAGGAAATCAATTATTTCCAACCTAGCACAAATTTAAGCCAATGAATTCTCTCTCCCAGAGTCATTTGCATTGTGAACCTTAGCCCCATTGCAAAATAAGAGCCATTTCACCACACACAGGACTAACACACATGAGCCCACAATGGGAGAGAAATTTCATGGGCAGGAGTGTCTTCTAGACTTTGGAACTCCAGTTTCCTTCCAACTCCAGCATTGCTCAGGGAAAGAGCGGGAAACTGCTTCCAAGGCTTGATCGCTCCAGTTGGAAACTCTCCTCCGCTCACCTTCAGCAGTGCCTGACGTTTTCACTGTCCGTCTCTTAAGGTTAAAGCATTTCCCTGCAAAGCCACTGGTTCCTGAAGTGTTGCCTAGGACGGGGCAATACAGTGCCCGGACAAGAGGCATCATGTTCATTTTCACATCACGGTTACGTTTCAGACCTGGACAGGACACAAAACAAGGTTGTTTTGATGCGCAGAAGACGAAAGAAGCACAACGAGGTAGAAAGAGGTTTAAATCTCAAGTTAGGAGACCTGAGTCCATTAATAGCTATGTGGTCTTGAATAAATAGCTTATCTTTTAAATTCTCATCTGTAAAATGAAATGCCAGCTGTTTTTCACAGGATGGTTGTGAGACTCAAAAGAGACAGTGCCTGTGAAAGAACTGGTCAAGGTCTAAGTCCTATAAAAGTGGAAGTTATTGTAATATTTGAATTTATGCGACGTAATGCCTTCCTTTTGCTGGTTGGTCCCTCCGAGGCACTAGTCCCCTCCACTAGAGAAATATGATGTCTACTAGCCTGCAGTACTGAGTACTGTAGCTTCCTGAGGCACTGCGAGCTGTTGGCTAGCATCGCACCAGCACCTAGAGGTTCCCGTGCATGCTGGGGCTCCAGGTTTGGACTACAGCCCCCTCAAGATAAATGTGAACTGTGTTTGCTCTACATCAGGACCTGGAACTAAGTCTGTACTTCTTTTCAGAGCCTTCCAGTCGCTGAAAGTGATAAAGGAGCTGAAGAGTAAATGTTTTAAATAAATCAAGTCATGGACTCTGCCTGAGGTCATTTTGATACAGTGAGTTTCCTGACAGCCTGAAAATGAGGCTGCCTGTCCCCTCTTGCCCTTGGTCTCACAAAGCCAGACTTTTCCATCTTAGGTGAGCATGCAATATGCCGGATCGCCTCTAAGCTTTATCCAGGGCATCCAAATGGTCCAGCCGCAGTGCTCAGTCTCACTC